TCAAGAATTTCCCTTTTCAGATCAGACCTACAAGACGTAAGAGAAGCTGTGACTCCTGTGAATTCAGTAAATCTTACATAGGGTAGGTGGTCAACAGTTGTATGGTTTTGCCTTCCCATGTGTTTCCAAAATAAATGCAACTGAAAATTGGGCTTAATAGTTTCATGATTCAAAATGAATCCATGAATATTCTTTCATGTATACTTTCATTGATCATTAAGAAATTGCCCTTATATATCTGAGTTATTATTCAAAGATTTCTTTTTACCATTTGAGCTTAAAACTGCAAGTTAAAGGCTGGGATAGAGCTGGGGTTGTGACTCAGTGGTAGAGCACTTGCCTAGCATGCATGAGGCACTGGGTTCCATCCTCAGCACCACATTAAAAAACTAAATAAACGAAATAAAGGTATTGTGTCCATCTACAACTAAAAGTATTATTTTTTTAAAAAAAGGGGGGTGGGATATAGCATGCACAAGGCCCTGGGAGTGAACCCTAGCACTACAAAAAACAATTAGAAAAGTTAAGTTTATTGGAATAAATTGTAAGGGGTGTTAAGGCCGCTATGTTTCGTTTAGCCTTTGCTAAGATGGTAGCTCATTTACAGTTGGCTTTTTCACCATTGTGACCAAAAGACCAGACAGGAACTATTTTAGAGGAGGAAAAGTTTATTTGGGGCTCACAGTTTTAGAGGTCTCAGTACATAGACAGCCAGCTCCATTGCTTTGGGCCTAAGGTGAGGCAGAACATCATGGTGGGAGGTACATCATGATGGGAGGTGAGGCAGAACATCATGGTGGGAGGTACATTTCTGTGGCAGAGGAAAGCAGCTCAAGACATCATCACTGTGAAGCTGAGAGAGACTTCTCTCACCAAGAACAAATATGTACCCCAAAGGCTCGCCCCAGTGACTTCCCTCTTCTAGCCACATCCTACCTGCCTACAGTTACCACCCATTTAATCACTATCAAGCGATTAATGCACTGATGAGGTTAAAACTCTTATAGGCAAATCACTTCACCTTTAAATTTTCTTGCATTGTCTCACACATGAGTTTTTGGGGTCACTTAATATTTAAACCGTAACACAAAGTATACCCTAAACAACCCTATTCTTAAGTCGAATCCTAAAAACGAAAAGCATCCTTGAGTCACTAAATTTGCTTTGAATTTGTGGTGTTCATGTGAGATGCTTTGGTATAGAATATCTTTTAAAATAATTTTATTGGTGCATTATAATTATACATAGTAATAGGATCATTATGCTATATTTGTAAGTGCACATAATATAATAACCACAGTCTCATTTCCCAGTACTTTCCCTTTCCTTTGCCTCTTACCTCCCCCTGATCTGCTTGCTCTCCTCTATCAATTTTCTATTATTGTTGTTAGTGCATTTTTAAGTGTGTGTGTGTGTCTGCAGGACTCATTGTAGCATGTTCATAGCATAATTTGACAGATTTCATACCCCAGTACTTCCCCATGTGTTCCTACCCACCCACCCCCAGTTCTCTTCCTCTACTCTATTTGTCTTCTACTTTTGTCTTTCTCTCTGCCCCACCTTTTTAAATCCCTTCTATCCCCCACTCCCACCCTCAACCCCTAGTTTCTACATATGAAAGAAAACATTTGACTTTTAACTTTCTGCATCTGGCTTGTTTTACTTTGCATGATATTCTTCAGTTTCATTCATTTACTAGCAAATAATATAATTTCATTTTTCTTTATGGCCGAATACAATGGCATTGTGTATATATACTGCCTTTTCTTTATTCATTTGCCTATTGATGAGCTGGTTCCATAACTGGGCTATTGTAAGTTGCACTACTGTAAACATTGATGTGGCTGTATCAATGTGGTATGCTGATTTTAGTTCTTTTGAATAAATACCAAGTAATGGGATAGCTGGGTCATATGGTGGTTTGTCTCTTGACCAGGCCTATAAGCTGTAAATACAAAGATAACACTTGTGGCAGAATTTATTTCTTAGATTATATTCTAGTGTGACTTGGAAGGAGGTCCTAGTGTCTAAGACAAAAAGAAAAATAGACTATAGGGAAGTTAAAATTTTTCTCTTTTCCACCCAAAACGGGTTCAATAATTTTAGTCATATGAAATGAGTTGACAATAGATAGATCACAGGAACCAAACACATTTTATGAGACTCAAGAAAAGGGCATGGTGATTGCCATTTATATAATAAATTAGCACAATTCTTTCTTTTTCCTCCTCTAGTTATATCATGGTTTTGACTAACTATATATTCTTTACTGTTGAGTGGTGATTATTCAAATTTTGTTTTCTTTGCACTGAAAATTTACTTTAGCTCACTCTGTATCTATCACCAATTTCTCTTCCTAATATGTTCAAACACATCAGGAATTTGATTTCATTGTTCTAGATTTTCTCTTGTGAAATCTCTTCTCTTGGGGCTGGGGTTGTAGCTCAGTGGTTGAGTGTTTGCCTCACATGCGTGAGGTACTGGGCTCCATCCTCAGCACCACATAAAATAAATAAATAAATAAAACTATATATATATGTATGTATGTGTGTGTGTGTATGTATGTATGTGTATGTATGTATATATATATATATATATCATGAAAAGAAAGAAATCTCTTGCTTGTTTCTTGACTCTTCTTAAGGTCCCAGGATCACCCTTAGGGATTAATCAAATACCTTGTTTCTATGTTGGTTCCTCTATTTCCTAGATCTCATGTATTCCAGTTTCCTTTTCCTCTTTCTTTCTTGGTGCTGGGAATTGAACCAGGGCCTTCTGTTTGGTAAGGACATGCTATACACCTGACTCCTTTCCCTTTTCTTGGTTTGTGAATTTATTTCCATGGAGCAGGTGTTACACTGATTCTCTTGAGATAGAAGGCAAATTGAGATGCTATGTCTAAAAATGTCTATAATTGATATTTTTGTTGGATGCAGAACTCAAGGATTTCAAAGGTACTGCTTCCTTCAGTTGTCTAATAAATTCCAGGGCTGCTCTTGAAATACCTGATACTTTCTGGTTCCTGCTTTTCTATATGTGATCTATTTTTTGTTGTTCCGGTTTTGAATCTCTGACAGACTTTATGTTTGTTGTCGTCAGTATCCTGCAATTTTGTGATGTCATGCTCTGTCTAGTTTACATCTTTTTTTTTAATGTGTTGAGCATTAGGCAGGCCATTTCTTATTATTTCTTATTTTTGCCTAATTGGATGCAATAGCTTTTCTCGTCTAAAAGCTTTTCTCGTCATATAATTATATGATTTTATCTTTTTCTTTTCTCAGTTTTCTTCTGTTCCCTGGCCTAACTCGAGTTCTTTTTCTTCTTTTCCTATGAATGGTATGTCTGTGTGTGTGTGTGTGTGTGTGTGTGTCTCCGTTCTCCCTCTTCTTCTTTCCCTCCCTCCCTCCCTCTCTCCCTCCCTCCCTCCCTCTCCTCCCTCCCTCCCTCCCTCTCCTCCCTCCCTCCCCCCTTCTCTCTCCTCCCCCCCCCCACAGGTAGCTATTCCTGTACTCCACAGTGTTATTAATCTACATGGGACCATGACCCCTTTTGCATGCTGAAGCTTATTGACAGAAATTCTTTAAAGTCAAAGAAAATTTGTTCTAGTAAAATATACTTATCTGAATATTTTTCAAAACTATTCTATATCAGTATATGTGCTTGTTTATTAACATATTCAGTAAAATAAGAGGTAGCTCTAACAATGATCATAATTTTGAAGTAATGATGAGTATAAATGTTTTTGAAATATTTGCACCAACTGTAATATATGAAAATATCTGATTTTTATTGGCAATGAGTACCCAGATTGCCAATATTATTGTTATCTATAGCCTATATTTATAATTATAAAGAGATGTCCCATTTCAAATAGAGGTTAATGTAAAAAGTTGTTTTTTACATTCAAGTTCTTGGGCCTTTTGAAGTCTATTGAATGATTAGTCCTAGGGGGATTAAGAACACTTTGATTAGAGGTTTTTTTTCAGTGTAAGATACTGTAAAGCTGATTGTGGAAACTCTGGTGACAGAATGGGGCTTGACAACTAGAAGTCTTCAGTGTGAGTTGTGAGGTACTCAGCTTTCGTTACTTCTGCATCTTTCTTTTTAGGACTCAAATCTATTCCCCAAAGATTCCATAATATTCTGTATGTGGAATTTCAGTTTACTTCTCTGTTAGATAATTTTGCTTTCTCATATTCTTCCAGCAGAATTTGCTTTTGTGATTTTCCTGAATGGATGGGCGGATAGATAGATAGATAGGATTTTTTTTTCCTAGTGTTCCAGTAAAACTTTATTTACAGAAATAGGAGGGCTGAGAATGTAACCCAGGAGCAGAGCACTTACCTAACATGCATAAGGTTCTGGGTTCAATCCCCAGCGCCACAGTAAACAAAAAACGAGCAGGAGATGGATTTGGGCCCCAAGACCTATTTGTTGACCCTTAGTTAGTTTTTACATTTTAACATCTCACACATACTATGTGGTATTCCTTAGGTGGATTTACCCTAATTAATTTAATAAGCCCTTTATTGATAAACATTTAACCTTTCAGGTTTTTTTTTTTTATTACAAGCAGTTCTGCACAAACAGCCTTGTTATCATTGAGTATTTTTCTAAATATATCTGGAAGAAATTCTTGGAAGTGAAATTACTGTATTGAATGTAGGCATATTTAAAATATTGGCAGAAATTGCCAGTCTGCTCTCCATAAAGATTATACCTGTTTATATTCTTTCAGTGATATGTGAAGGTGCTGACTTCCCCACCACACACTTGCCAAATCTGAGACTGTGAAAAAGGCCATGCACTTTAGCTCTAAAATTAAAAAAACTATTTTTGGGTTGAGGGGTTCTGAATGGTTATATTAGATATGTTCTTATTAAGCACGGTCATTCCAGAAAAGTGCACATATACTCTTTTAATATTAAAAAATCCTTAATATGACAAGAAAATAGGGCTGTTTCTTTATTTCATATTTAATTTTCACCCTGATTTTCCAGGAGCTTTCAAGTTGTGGATGGAATAAGAAGGAAAAATATAGTTCTGCACCAAATGCAGTTGCCTTCACAAGAAGATTTAATCACGTGAGTTGTTTACAATTTTGATGCTTAGTTTTTGAAATTCTGTTCCTTAGTACATAATTTTTCTAAATAGGAAATTGTTTTAATTTTCACATCGATTCTGGAATATTTTTGGCCAGTATTTCTTCAAATATTTTTTCTCATGATTTTTGCTTTTTTCCCTCTATAATTACTATAGTACTTTTGTTGAAAGTTGGCCTTCTTTCTTGCTTGTCTCAACCTTTCCTGTTTTCACACCTGTCTTTTGTGTTCCATCCTGAGGGATTTCTTCAAGTCTGTATTTCAGCTCACTAATTCTCTCAGATGTGCTCTGTTTCAAACTATGTGCTTTTACCCTAGTGTCATATTCTTAGTTACAAAAGTAAAAAGTTTCTTAAGTAATTTTGGGCAATTTATTTTATAGTTTCTGTGTTATCATCTGAAGTTCTTGGGATACTTCTCTGTTTATCTCTACTAACCTTTACAGTGGTGTGTTTTCTTAGCTGATTGGTATCTGTGCATGGAAAGTTCGTGCCTGTGTTAGCTTTGTCTGTGGAAATTTACTGCTTCCCAGGTTGTGGGTATATCCCTTCTGGGGGCTGCTTGCTTTGGTTGTTCCTGGAGCTGTCACTGACCTGGGACTATTCCTTATGTTAAATGTTTTGGTTGGGGGATATCTACACTTCTCTATAATGGGACTTTAAATTCTAAATCCAGCTAAGGAAAGGCTTTTGGTTACAAATTCTTATGAGAGACTAATTTTTTCTCCTTAGTATCCCAAAGCCTAGATAAACTTGTGTGTTGTCTCCCTCTTCCAGTAGGTGAATTTAGTTTACCTTTTCACTGAGATTACAGCCCTTTGAGGAGCCTTTAGGTAGAAATGGAGATAGAAAGGAGAAATGTGAGGCCTATGTTGACTCTGAAGGAGTCTAAAGTCCCAAGCATCTGTCATTGAGTCAGGAAACTTTCCAAGGACAGCTGCAGGGTCCACTTTTGTAACCACTGCTTTGCTGTTTCCTTCTTTGTGTTTGGTCTAAGGAAATCCTTTCATCTCAGACATACATGTCTGTGTGTACATGTGTGTTGTTGTTGTTGTTAACTTTGTTTTATTTAATCCAGCATTTCTAGGGGTTTATAGAAAATAGATTCTCATTCACTGAACTCCCCAAAATGGAAAATTTAAGAATTAGATTAAACCCATTTGAGGCATAGAGGGAAGACATATTTTATACTAAATTGCATATCTGAGCTACTAAATTGCATATCTGAGCTACTAAATTGCATATATGAGCTATTTAACAGTTACTTTAAAATTTTTTCTGAGGTGGTCATAATTTATCATCACAGTAAACTTTTTTAATATACAAAAACATTGTTAGAATACTCAAAAATTTGATCTTAGCTTTTATCTCTCGTGCTTAAGTAAGCTAAAATGTTGTCAAACACATCACAAAATACCAAAAGCTTTTGTCCTTATTCCAGATTGTAGTTGATCTTCTCATAAGCTTTTTTACATAGTTTTTCCATTACTCCATTATTTTCTAGAAGGTCACAGGAGATCTGAAATTTAACATTAGAAAAGAAGTTGGGAAGAATCCTTTAAAGAGAACCTGTATGCATTTATTGAATGATTTTTATGGTCCTGGAGACCATGCATCTTTAATTTTTAAATGAGTGTCTTGTAGACAGCTGTATTCAATAAGAAAAGGAAAGTCTAATTTAGACTTAGGAAAAATGAAACCATAGTTCAGAGAGTTTCTGTCTGTCCATACTCCCCACGATATCAGCAGCTTTTGTAATTAGTACAGTTAACAGAATCAGGAAGTTAACGTTGGTACAATAACTATTAACTAAAGACCTTACTCAGATTTAGTTTTCCCACTAATATCCTTTATTATTGTTCTAAGATACTATTTTGGATCCCACATTGCATTTACTTGTCACTAATTCCAACAAAATGGTTATCTTGGGGTGTCTGTTTCTATCGAATGCTTTCTTTCTTTTTTGTGGGGTGAAGGTGGTACGCTGGGCATTGAACCCAGTGGTGTTTTACCACTGAGGTACATCCTGTGCCCTTTTAAAAATATTTTATTCTGAGACAGGGTCTCACTAAATTGCCCAGGGCTAGACTCAAACTTCTTGTGATCCTCTTATCACAGCTTCCTGATTGACTGGGATTACAGGCATGCGCCATTGCACCAGCAAATGCCTTCTCTCTTCAATTCTCCATCTGTTTCTCTGCGTGTCTCATAGTTTTTTTCATTTGTATAGTCAGCATTGTGAACAATATGTTACAGAGATTCTGGACTCTGTTTTATTCTGAGGGTGTTGGTTTTTATTTTAGCAAGCAGACCCCTTATGCCAAATTCTGTTTCTCTTTGGGGAGCAGATAATTTCTTTCAGCCATCTAGGTTTTGTTTTCAGTGGTCTTACAGTTTCCTCTCCCCAAGCAACAGGGTCCGTGGTCAGCTGGAGATTTGATTAGAGAGCTTTCTTCTCTGTCCATCTATTGGGACATTTCCCTCTGTCTCTCCCTCCATTCTAAAAATTTTCACCTCATTGTTCATCAGGATACTGTTGTGTCTTTTCAAGCCATCAGGAAGCCATTAGGACTGACCACCTGCTTGAGTTTTATTTTAGCTGTCTTAAACTAGCAGTGAGTCTTATCCTGTACACTTTGCCTTTTTCAGGAATCAGTTTTTCAGTTTTCTAATTTCTGCCATTTTTTTCCTTTTCTTGTGATTAATTTTAAGTAGATCTTTGTATTTTTTTACTTGAATATATCATTCTTTCAAAAATCACTGTATATTAGATATTTTTCTGATGATGTGATCATGTCATCCAGCCAATGACTTCCTGCCCCCCCTTTTTTTTAATTTGAGAGAAAATTGTCTTAAGTTCTTTTTTTAAGCTATAGTTGCACATAAAACCTTTATTTTATTTGTTTATTTTTATGTGGTGCCAAGGATTGAACCTAGCACCCTGCATATGCTAGGCGAGAGCTCTACCACTGAGCCACAACCCAGCCCCTCTTAAGTTCTTTTTAATGCTCTCTTGCTCCTTTTAAATAATGGGAAATTTGACTAGATGTATGGTAGTGTTAAAGCTTATGTATTTTAGGAATTAAAAGGTTTTGTTTATTAAAAAAGGACTTTTTTTTTCAAAATTTTTTTCAGTTGTAGTTGGACACATATCTTTATTTATTTTTATGTGGTGCTGAGGATCGAACCCAGGGCCTCGCACGTGCTAGGCGAGCACTCTACTGCTGAGCCACAACCCCAGCTCCCTTAAAAAGGACTTTTTTAAAAAATATATTTATAGAAGCAATTATGTTGTCTCATTTGCTTCATTGTATTACAGGGTATGGGAGTATGACAGTTGAAGTAAAAAGCTTGCCAATGACTTGATTGTTAAGGATAGTTGGTGTGTATTATTATTATCATCTGTTTAATTCAGTAAACATTTGTGGTTTTCCATAACAAAAAGTTAAGGTCACTATCTTTAAGGTGTATTTTTGGCTCTGAATATAAGATTTGTACATTTGATTATAAAACCCTGAATAAAGCATCTACAGTGAATAAATGATCTAGGATTTACTTTTTTATGAAATAACTGGTATAGTTCAAAGAGTGTGTTAAGTAGTTGAGTCATATGAAATTGCCCACTTAGGGCCATTTTTAGCCTCCAAAAATGACCTATTTATATGATTAACCCAATATATGTTAAAAAGCATTATAATACACAATTGACTTTACCCCAAAGAATATTACTAAACACTGTTGAAATGTTTTTATGTGCTTTTCCCTCTACTTTCACTCAACAGGTAATCATTATCTAGAAAACTGTATATGTGCTTTTTTTTTCTTTCTCATTTTTTAGTAGACTTTTTAACTCCTCATAATTCCTTTGTTGATTTCCCAGAAATATTTGTGTCCTTAATTAGGCATATAGATTTGTATCAGCATGTTGTATAATCATGCTTACTTTTCATCTTTGTACATTATACCATCATGTAACTGAATGTAATGTGTTCCCGTCTTGGTAAGCACAAAGCCAAAAACCACAAGCAGGAGATAAAAAGTGGAGAAAGACTATCACCCACAGCAGGAAAGGAATAAATAACCTTAGTGTTATTTATTTCTAAGGTTATTTCTAAAGCAGTGCCCTCTGAGAAATGGAAGCATGGGGATTTTATTCAGGGAGTTTATACATGTTCATATAGGGAAATATTGTAGATACAGACATGTTCCTGAGCATGCTCAATTTAAGGTGTTCATTTTTGAGCATGCTCAGTTTAATGTCATATTTCAGGAATGTAAGATGGCAGATATATTTGTGGGCATGCTTAACTCATGCTCATAGACCCCATGGTCAAAAAGGTTCAGATGGTGGACCCAAACACTTCTGGGCATGTTCTGTCCAGTATTATAACAAGCCAGGTATACTCCAGTTTGCCTAAAATAATGAGTCAGGAGGCCATGCATGGTAGCACATGCCTGCAATCACAGTGGCTTGGGAGGCTGAGGCAGGAGGATTGCAAGTTCAAAGCCAGCCTCAGCAAAAGTAAGGTGGTAAGCAACACAGTGTGACCTTGTCTCTAAATAAAATACAAAATAAGGTTAGGAATGTGGTTCAGTGGTCAAGTGCCCCAGAGGTTAATCTCCATTACCCCCAAAAAAGAGTCAGGGTAGCTTGGTGACCTTGATTGGTCTTCTGCAAGTTGTTTCAGAGACACTTTGAAACAAAAAAGAATGGGCTTTGGGTGGGGGGCAGTACGGGGATTGAACTCAGGGATATTCAGCCATAGAGACAGGGTCTCACTGAGTTGCTTAGCACATGTTGAGGCTGGCTTTGAACTCATGATCCTCCTGCCTCAGTCTCCTAAGCCCCTGGGATTACAAGCATGCACTACCGTGCCCCGCAAGAAAGTACAAATTTGAAGGTGCTTTTAATACAGGAGTTTTCCCCTGAAGGTGCCTGCTTTGCTTAGCACCAACAGTCATACTACTGTGACTTTTTGCCTCAGGTGTGGTTCTCTGAGGTATCCATGGTGATACATATAGCTCTAGTTCATTGATTTTTTTCACTGCTCTCTAGGATTTCATTGCATGAATGTATCAGAATGAATTTATCATTCTTTTGAGGGTGGCCATGAAGTATATTTTCTAATTTTTTGCTTTTAACAAAGAATGTTGTTGTGACTATCCTAAGAGTCTTGCTACACTTGTTTAATACATTCTTTCTAGGCAGTGGCTTTCTATGACTAGGACCTATAGTAAGATAAAATATACGTTGCAACTCAACACATAACACAGCCAAAACAAAATTTACTTATATGATATGTACTTTGATCTTTTCTGTTAGAAAAATCAGTTGAGGGCTGGGGTTGTGGCTCAGTGGTAGAGCGCTTGCCTAGCACATGTGAGGCTCTGGGTTCAATCCTCAGCACCACATAAAAATAAATAAATAAAGGGGGAAAAAATGTTACTTAGACCCACTAAATTAATATTATGAAATGGGTAAAGAAATAGTGATCTATTTGGAAAAATATGTACCTTGATGTAAAATTTGAGTCAGAGAATATTCATGCTTACCTATAAAAGACGGTGTCTTTATTTTCCAAACCTGTACACTTTATATTCCTTCCAGCAGATTAATATTATGAGAGTTTTCTTTTCTGCATATTCTTATCAATACTGTCATCACACTTTGCAGTTCAATTTGTGTAAAATAATTTCATCTCCCATTTTCTTTTGATAAATGTTTATTCCTTCTGTGTCCTGGCACTGTTGTAGTGTTTGGGATATGTCAGTGAACAAGAAAAATAAAGGTTACTATCTTCAGGGAATGTTCATTCTGGCTGTTCTAATTTTTTAATTTTTAAGTTGACAAATTGTATGCATTCATATGTACAACATGGTATTTTGATACATGCATATATTATAAAATGATTAAATACATCCATGTGCCTACCCCAGTCACATCCTTTTTCCTTGAAAAGCAAATATTCTCTTTACTTAACAAGTACTCTCACTTCCCTACATTTCTTGTTTTGTCTCCTAAATTAGGATCCTGAACACTAGATTTTGCCAGTTTTTAAATTTTGATGTTCACAATTTTTGAATCTACAGTTTCCCCCTTTATGCCTTTCTTTTCTTTACCAATTATCTATGGCAGAACCCAGGCATTTTGACTAGTGCAGTCTCCCACACCTAGATTGCATCCTGTGTAGTATAACATACTCTGATTTTTGCAAATTGTGACCATATTTAAAAAAAAAAAAAAACATATATCATTATGAGCTGATAGATTTAAACCTAAGAGTTTCGAGTTTCAATCCATTTTCATGTTGTCCCATCTTTGGCCAATGGGAATCTATTCAGATTGACGTTCATGTCTTTGTCATAACCCTAGTAGGTTTTAATCATTTCTTTACCTTCTGGTAGGCCAGGATGTTACAGGTTCATTTTGTGTATTTTCTACCCCTGTGTGGAATCTATATTTTTGGAAGAAGTCCTGGTTTCTTATAGTAGAAAATGGACCTGGATGCCAGGGATGCTTGTTGCTTATTTGGTGACCATGATTTCTAGGCCTTTGTAGCAGATACCGCTAGGTTATCTATATATCCATGTATAATATACAGCTGTTTGAAATATCTCATGAATTCATATTGGTATTTCAGATTTTCAGGACTAGGGTTTCTATTCCAACTCTTCTATATCATATCTTCATGTTCTTTCTCTTACATCCTGCATCCTGGTCCTTTCCAAAGAACACAGAGCATGATACAGTCTAATAGTTCACTCTTTGCTTCATTCTACATGATAAACAGCAATCTCAGAATGATAATACAGGTTGTACATTCTTAATCCTAAAATCAAAATGTGAAATGCTTCAAAATCCAAACCTTCTTGGGCACTGGCATGACACCACAGCTGGAAAATTCCACATCAAGAAAATGGTTTCTTTGAATTAGAAAGCATCCCATTTTTGAAATGCAGTTTAATTTGAGAATGCTAACTTGGATATATATAGGTATATTTTTATGGCATTTATTTTGTTCTAATCATAAAAAGAAAACCTACTTGGGAACCTTCACTTCTTATAATTCTGCTTAGTTTAAACAAATGACGTGTAGGATTATACAGCCACAGAAAAACATACTATTAGTAAAGTGTCTTCTACAATGTCTGATTTTAAAACTTAACCTAATTCTGCCAAAATATTTTAAACTACAGCAAAAAAAATTGTATTTATGTAGTTTCATTTTGCATTTTCTTAGCTCTTTTCCCAAAAACTTTATATAAACTTTCATTAATTAATGATATTTTTATGTCTGTGCACACCCACATCTGTATTTTTGTGTATAAAGAGTGTACAATATTTGAAGATTGGCTGTGTATATATAAGTAGTCAAGGGCACAAAAAAAGCATTGTTTTTTAAGCCACTGTAGGAAGTTCATCAAGTAGTTTTCATCATTAATTTGATCCTAGCAAGTAATAATCTTGCCCTTCAACAGTTTTTAATTTTTATTTACAGGTAAGCTTTTGGGTTGTAAGAGAGATTCTTCATGCTCAAACATTAAAAATTAGAGCAGAAGTTTTAAGCCACTATATTAAAACTGCTAAGGTAAGAAAAACTTGTTTTTATTCTGTAATTCAACTATTCACAAATGTTTTTAGTCAGCATTTGCTGGTAATACTTTATTTACTGTTTTATTGATACTGGAAAATAGTACCTGTTGAGTAATATGTCAGTTTTTTGATTGAATGCTTGTTTTCTCTGCCTTTTCTTTTATTTCTCTTGTTTTCCTCCCGTTTTATATTCATTCTCCTCTCTCAGTAGCAAAATTGAATGGTCTGTATCACTGGATAAGTAGACAGAGGTCAGATTATGATATTTATGAAATATGAGACTATTCTGAAGGTGATGGAGAAAGCCATATATGATAGAGTAGGTGAAAACAGAATTGCTTCTGAAATAGATCAACCCCTGCCAGCCATGGGGAAAAAAAAATAGTATATGTGATGTTACCAAATACTTTAACTGAGCAGTGATTGTGTGGCATAGACAATATATATATAGCAGGAGTAACGGAGTATTGATTTCATGGATACTCAGAATTTAAAGAGGATAGTGAGATAAACCTGAAGCAACTCCAGATTTATATTAAGTTCACTAAGAACTATGGTAATTGTAGCCAAACTCATTGTTCATGATTTTTATAATAAATACATGAATTAACTCACCCATGAATGAAAGAAGATAGAATAAGGTGAGAATACCCTGTTCATAGCTACTGTAAGGCATGATTCTTCCCATGTTTTCCTTGAGTGTGTGGCAACAATTCTGTGGCACTAGGTGGCAGAGCTAGCCTTCTACAAATATGATATTTTGCAGAAGTGTGATAAAATTATCATTCTTTGTGATAAGTCAGATAAATAATGGTTTTTAGCTAGTAGAAATTAATGACTTTTTTCATAGATTCTGGATTTCCATTATTGTTTTCCGATTTTTTAATTACATATTTTTAAAAACAGAATGTATGTTACACTGAAAATCACCAAATTTTTCCCATCAAACATACCCTAGCTTTCTCATCAAATAATCATTTAATTCTTCAGCTTTCAGGCCTTGAGTTATATTTGACAGCCTTTGCCTTTTTCCCAAGCCCTAATTCATAATTGATTTTTTTCTCATCACTCTAAAGTTGCTATATCTGACTCTGCACTCTGTATTCAGTTTGCTATAAAACTAGCAGATCTGACTCTTCTTTTGGTAGATTGTGTCAGTCACTGTCCTCTAGAAAGACAGAACTAATAACACTCAATATAAACGTGTATGAAGAGATCTTAAGGATTGCTCACGAGATTATAGGAGCTGGTAAGTCTGAAATTTGTAGGGCATGCCACAGTGCTGGAAACTGAGACAGGGGTTCTCTTCCTTATAAATCTTTTTTATTCATATGGAGAGTTGAACGTGGTGCCTAATCTATAGTAAATGCTTCACATACGGTATTGAATAGATAGTTTCCGAACTAGGTTAAATTACCTTTCTGTGTAAAGATATATATTCTGTTTTATGTTTTTTATTTTGTTTTTATTTGTTTTCTTTGGGTTTTTATTTAAATATCCTACCCACAGCATTTTCTAGACCTGGGCTTACCTGGTAACAGAGATAGAACTGTTCCAAAATGACTAAATTTTTAGACAGGACCTTTGAAATTTTATCAGGAAGTATGACAAAATGCTATCAGGCAAATTAGAATAAATGTTAAATCTCTAGGCAAATGAATAGAACCTAGAGTTGATAGGCATTTTCTGTATGCACCCTATAAAATGAATGAGAAACAAAGGATCTGAGGGTTTAGGAAGTAAGAAATTGAGGAGATCTGGAATAATGGGCAGGAAAGATGATGAGCATCCTGAGTAGAAACTTTCTTAAAACTTGGAACACAAAGCAAAGACTTAGTAATATTTCAGTGTAAGGAATGAGTTTTCTGCTGGAGTTGGAGTTTACCAGGTAAACTTGATACTGAACCATAACTCTCGTTTTTTAAATACATTTTAATCTGCCTTTTAGAGGCAGATTTATTCCCAGTGCTTGGGGACAATAAGAGGGTTAAACATGGAAGTTGTTTTGTGGGCTGAAAACAATCAACTGTAAACAGAATACGTACTCTAAATACAGATCTCAGGAGTATGGGTAGTAAATCCTGGAACATTACCACCTGACTACATTGTAGTTTCTAATCTTTATTTTTCTTGTATTTGCTTTTAAATTTCTTGTCCATTCTTCCCCCTTTTCTTAAATCTTCAGAAACTATATGAGCTGAATAACCTTCATGCCCTCATGGCAGTGGTTTCTGGCTTACAGAGTGCCCCAATTTTCAGGTTGACGAAAACATGGGCGGTGAGTATTCTCCCTTAATTAATGAATGTTAGATTTCCTGTGGGAGGTAAAGGTATATTAATTTCTTTTGTAGTTCTTACAAAGGTTAATATTAAATAGATAAGAATTTTAAATTACTTTGTGCTTTATTCTTTGAAACCTGGATTTTCCTCTCCTTAAGTGATTGACCAGATTCATGAGGTAATTTGTGGATAGACTACAGTTTGATACTTTGGTTTCTTCTCTTTAGAGAATCATTTTTGTATCCTCTTTAAGTATCTTTGACGTAGTGTTTCATATTTGCCAATGGGAAAGTATAAAGACAAAATGGCATTTAATCATGTAAAGATTATGATTTTGGTAAGTTTGAGGAAAAATCTAAATTTACTGTTTTCAATTGCCATTATTTTTTAGTCTCAATCTTTATGGTTTTTTTCTTTAGGATTAATGGAAAATCTGATGGTAAACATGGACTAATGTGATATTACTATATGTTCTGAGGATGTTGTGTTAATCGTTTTTGGTTCTATTACATTGACAAGGTTACAGTTTAAACTTTTTTGACATCTGCAAATTTGTTTATCTTCATCTTTGCATGATTTCGGATTCTGTACTCAGTCTTTTCAAGTATTTTCAATTTAAATTTTATACATGTAATATTTTAGAAGTAAAAGGAGGGAGGTTATAAACAGTAAAAAGTTAGTGTAGCCACTGGATTTCAAGTCCTAGTGGTATCAGATAATTACTCAATTCAAGATGACAAAAGGAATGGAAGATAAAAGTGATGGAAGGTAAGATCATTGGAGGATGAGAGAGGTCAAGAAACTGAGACACCAGGGTATTGGGAGTATCATCTCTGAATATTACAATCACTAAGATTGATGATAAGGATAATACTGTTTCATAGGATCTTTTTTCTCTAATAAAGTCTTCAGAACATAGGAAAATAACAGTAGGTAAATGAGTGACGTTAATGTGTTGACATCTTATGTAGTATTATCTAGCATGATAGCCACTAGTCACATGTTGCTATTAAGTATTAATTATTAAAATAAAAATTCAGTTCCTCAGCTATACTGGCCAGGTTGCAAGTGCTCCATAGTCACATGTTAACTAGTGGCATTGTATTGGAGAGCACTGATCTACTAGTGCCTTGAACTTAACAGATGGCAGAGGATTTTAGGGAAGAAAGTGGAATAATAAACTGGAAGAGACTGTGAAGAGCAAGTAGTAGGATTATGTCTACCTACCTCCAAGCTCAATTTACAAGAAACTTGAGGAAAGGTTAAGACTTGCAGAGGATCAAGAGTTTCAGAGAGTACAGCTGGAAAGGTTTGGAGGAGTGACTAGGTCAAGTTAGAGAATAAATAAAGCTTGTTTGGGTTTAAAAAGCCTATTTGGGTTAAAAAATTTTAATGACTGAAGAATTGAAGGTTTTTGTTTTGTTTTTTAACTGATCAAGGGAATGTACCAAAAAGTCTAAAACATCCTATAATAGGGAAAATATTGGAGCATTCTCCATAGCATCAAGGGAAAAGATGTACATTTTCTTTTTTTTTTAAGATGTACATTTTCATTATATTTTTTCAACATAGAGATCCTAGCTAGCATATTAAAAAAAAAAAAGAAACTTTTTTTCCTGAAAGGAATAGATAGGGGGGAATTTTATTTATCATATTATAATTTACTCATCTATAGAAAACTCAAACTACAGATAAAACATGATTGAAAACAATTAAATTTCTCCTAAACTAAACACAGAATTACCTTGTGATTAAGCAGTTAGTTTCTGAGTATATACCCAAAATAATGGAAAGCAAAAAACATAAATATTTTTGTATCTGTGATCATAGTAACATTTTTAACAGCAATCACAAAGTAGAAACAACCCAAACATCTGTAAGGAGATGAATAAATGAATGAAATGTCATATATATATGTATAATGGAATATTATTTGGCATTAAAAAGAATGGAATTCTGCAGCATATTACAACATGGATGATCCTTGCAGATTTATGCTGTGTGAAATGAGTAGATACAGAAAGACAAATATGATTGATTCTACTTATATATTCTACATGACCTAGCATGATCATATTTATAGAGGCAGAGAGCAGAGTAGTGGTTATTAGTGATTGGGAAAGATGCAAACAGGGAGTAATTGTTTACTTGGTATAGAGTTGTTATGATTTGGATGATCCCCAAAGTTCAGATGTTAAAGCCTTGGTCCCCAGATAATGGTGCTCTTGGGAGGTAGTGGAACTTTTAGGAGGTGGGACCTAATGGAAAGAAGTTAGGCCATTGGGCGGGTGCCCTCAAAAGGTAAATATTGGGACCGTGGCTCCTTTCTGTCTTTCTTCCTGGCTGCCATGAGGTAAGCAGCTTTGCCCCACACTCTACTCCCCATCATGACGTTTTGCTTTGCAGCGGGGCCAAGTGATCATGGATTGAAACAATGAGCCAAGATTAATTGTTTTCTCCATAAGAATAAGTTTAGGGCTGGGGATATAGCTCAGTTGGTAGAGTGCTTGCCTCCCTTGCACAAAGCCCTGGGTTCAATCCCCAGCACCACAAAAAAAAGGGGGGGGGGTAGGTTTATCTCAGGTATTTGGAAAGCTGACTAACATAGCTGAGAATTGGGGTCATTGCTATGACTATGTCTGCTTATGTGATTTAGAAAGGCCTTTAGAATTGGTTTCTGGAAGAGAATTTGGAAAGGTTTGGAGAAGCAGCCTAGAGAAAGCTTGGTACATTGTAAGCAAAACATAATGAGTGATTCTAGTATAGGAGCTCAGAAGCCTGGAATGGTAATAGGAAAATGAACAGTGAAGGTGAAGACTATACTCATGAGGTCCCAATTCAATTGCCTTGTTCAGCCATCTAGGTACTTGGGGGCTGCAGCAGTGGTATACCCAGGTATATCTGGAAGAGCTTGCAACAGTGGCAGACTTTGGTATCAACTGTGTAATGTTGGTTTTGCAGACATTCAGAATGGAAGTCATGGAGGCTTCTGCTGAAATTTCAAAGGAAAATCTGAGGCCAGGCAAAGGTGGCAGGGTTAGAGTCCCTATAACAGACCCCAACATGACAGTGCATGCCATTGTAGGAGGCTGAGGCTGCAGTAGAAACCATAGGAAGTCAGAGGTGCCAGAAGCATGGAATGCTACTAAGGACAGTGAGCAGAGTTTTCCCAAAAGAGTGGCCATCTGTGTTACAGCCAGGAAGGCTACAGCTCACACCATGCCACTGTATTACTTGGTGCCAGACATGGAGCTAGAGGATTTAATATTTGCCCTGCTGGGATTCAGCCTTGTTTTGATCCAATTCTTTCTTGCTCTTTTCTTACTGCTCCCTTTTGGAATGAATGTTTACCCTGAGCCATTATATCTAGAAGCATGTGACCTGTTTTTTGATTTCTACAGGGGCTCACATCTAAGAGTTTGCATTGAATTTCTAAGGAGACTTTGGATTTGGACTTTTGAGCAATACTGGAACTGTTGAGACTTTGGGGATTCTTGCAGATGGTCTAAATACATTTTGCATTATAAAATAGACATAAGCCTTTGGGAACAAGAGACAGAATGTTATATTTGTTTGTTTGTTTTTTAGCTGCAGATGGGCACAATATCTTTATTTTCTTAATGCGGTGCTAAGAATCAAACTCACACATGCGAGGCAAGTGCTCTACCACTAAGCCCCAGCCCCAGCCCTGGTTTGATTCTTAAATGCTCTGTGAAGCCTTGGCTGGTAGCATGTGGCCCTGTTGGGAAATGATGGAAACTTAAGTAGGTGGGACCTTGTGAAGAAGTTGTAAATGTGCCCCTGCAGGGGATATTGGGACTCTCGTCTGTGTGTGTCTGTCGGTGTCTGTCTGTCTGTCTGTCTGTCTGTCTCTCTCTCTCTCTCTCTCTCTCTGGCTTCTGGTAAAAAAGTAAGTTAGCAGCTTACTTACAAAACTGGCCACATCTTCCCCCCATCATGGTATTCCACCTCATTGCAAGCCTGGAAAACAGGGGAGCCAAGCAATGATGGACTGAAGCCAAAAATAAATCTTCCCATTCTTTAGGTTGATAATCTCACAGTGACAGAAATCTGACTAAGTGTTCAGTTTGAGAAAATGAACAAGTTCTGGTTGTAATAACAGTGCAAATGTAATCAATGTCATTGAATTACACAGTTAAAAATGGTTAAAAGAGTCAATTTTATGTTATTCCTGTTGTACCACAGGTTAAAAAAAATAGGGTTTACTAAGGTGGCTGAATATATGAATAATATACAAAATGGGTTACATTTCAGACAATTCAAAAGCATCATTTAAGAGGACACATTTTATAATATTAACAGAAGAAACAAAAAATTTGTAAATGTGTAAGATCTATGTAACAAAAAATTATAAAACCATAGAAGATGAAGCAACATCCCATGTTTGGGAAAGGAAAATTTAAAGATTCAGTTCTCCCTGGATATATATATATATATATATATAAATTATCTGCAACATGAATCAAAATCCCAGTCTGAGCAGGTAAAATGATCTTACAGATAGAAAATTCTATAGACTCCATCAGATAACTGTTAGACCTAATAAACTCATTCGGTAGTATTCTAAGATACAAAATCAATATACAGAGATCCATTATGTTTCTGTATACTAATAACAAACTATCTGAAAAATTAAGAAAAAATAATCTCATTTATAGTCACATCCAAAAGAACAAAATACTTGAATAAATTCAGCCAAGGAGGTAAAAAGATTTGTACACTCAAAACTTTAAAATATTGATGAAAGAAAAGAAGATACATAAAAATGGAAAGATACCCTGTGTTTGTGGTTGAAAGAATTTATCTTGTTAAAATGTCTATAATACCTAAAGGGATCTGTAGATTCAGTACAATCTCCATCAAAATTCCAGTGACACTTTTCATAGCAATAGAAAAAATAATTCTAAAATTCATATAGAGCCATAAAAAGCCCAGAATATCCAGAGCATTCTTAAGCATAAACAAAAGTGGAGGCAG